CCTATACCCTAGTTTGTATGTAAAACTTTTTTTTTTTTTTTTTATCACACTGGCTGATTCCCACCAAGGCAGGGTGGCCCGAAAAAGAAAAACTTTCACCATCATTCACTCCATCACTGTCTTGCCAGAAGGGTGCTTTACACTACAGTTTTTAAACTGCAACATTAACACCCCTCCTTCAGAGTGCAGGCACTGTACTTCCCATCTCCAGGACTCGAGTCCGGCCTGTCGGTTTCCCCGAATCCCTTCATAAATGTTACTTTGCTCACACTCCAACAGCACGTCAAGTATTAAAAACCATTTGTCTCCATTCACTCCTATCAAACACGCTCACGCATGCCTGCTGGAAGTCCAAGCCCCTCGCACACAAAACCTCCTTTACCCCCTCCCTCCAACCTTTCCTAGGCCGACCCCTACCCCGCCTTCCTTCCACTACAGACTGATACACTCTTGAAGTCACTCTGTTTCGCTCCATTCTCTACATGTCGAACCGCCTCAACAACCCTTCCTCAGCCCTCTGGACAACAGTTTTGGTAACCCTGCACCTCCTCCTAACTTCCAAACTACGAATTCTCTGCATTATATTCACACCACACATTGCCCTCAGACATGACATCTCCACTGCCTCCAGCCTTCTCCTCGCTGCAACATTCATCACCCATGCTTCACACCCATATAAGAGTGTTGGTAAAACTATACTCTCATACATTCCCCTCTTTGCCTCCGAGGACAAAGTTCTTTGTCTCCAGACTCCTAAGTGCACCATTCACCCTTTTCCCCTCATCAATTCTGATTCACCTCATCTTTCATAGACCCATCCGCTGACACGTCCACTCCCAAATATGTGAATACATTCACCTCCATACTCTCTCCCTCCAATCTGATATCCAATCTTTTATCACCTAATCTTTTTGTTAACCTCATAACCTTACTCTTTCCTGTATTCACTTTTAATTTTCTTTTACACACCCTACCAAATTCATCCACTAATCTCTGCAACTTCTCTTCAGAATCTCCCAAGAGCACAGTGTCATCAGCAAAGAGCAACTGTGACAACTCCCACTTCGTGTGATTCTTTATCTTTTAACTTCACGCCTCTTGCCAAGACCCTTGCATTTACTTCTCTTACAACCCCATCTATAAATATATTAAACAACCACGGTGACATCACACATAAATAACATATACATCACATGTCCTTGTCTAAGGCCTACTTTTACTGGGAAAAAATTTCCATCTTTCCTACATACTCTAACTTTAGCCTCACTATCCTCGTAAAAACTCTTCACTGCTTTCAGTAACCTACACCATACACCTGCAACATCTGCCACATTGTGTCCCTATCCACCCTGTCATATGCCTTTTCCAAATCCATAAATGCCACAAAGACCTCTAGCCTTATCTAACTTATATGTTTCACTGTAAACACCTGGTCCACACACCCCCTACCGTTCCTAAAGCCTCCTTGTTCATCTGCTATCCTATTCTCCATCTTACTCTTAATTCTTTCAATAATAACTCTACCATACACTTTACCAGGTATACTCAACAAACTTATCCCCCTATAATTTTTGTGCACTCTTTTGTCCCCTTTGCCTTTAACAAAGGAACTATGCATGCTCTCTGCCAATCCCTAGGTACCTTACCCTCTTCCATACATTTATTAAATAATTGCACCAACCACTCCAAAACTGTATCCCCACCTTCTTTTAACATTTCTATCTTTATCCCATCAATCCCGGCTGCCTTACCCCCTTTCATTTTACCTACTGCCTCACGAACTTCCCCCACACTCAGAACTGGCTCTTCCTCACTCCTACAAAATGTTATTCCTCCTTGCCCTATACACGAAATCACAGCTTCCCTATCTTCATCATTTAACAATTCCTCAAAATATTCCCTCCATCTTCCCAATACCTCTAACTCTCCATTTAATAACACTCCTCTCCTATTTTTAACTGACAAATCCAGTTGTTCTCTAGGCTTCCTTAACTTGTTAATCTCACTCCAAAACTTTTTCTTATTTTCAACAAAATTTGTTGATAACATCTCACCCACTCTCTCATTTGCTCTCTTTTTACATTGCTTCACCACTCTTAACCTCTCTTTTTCTCCATATACTCTTCCCTCCTTGCATCACTTCTACTTTGTAAAAACTTCTCATATGCTAACTTTTTCTCCCTTACTACTCTCTTTACATCATCATTCCACCAATCGCTCCTCTTCCCTCCCGCACCCACTTTCCTGTAACCACAAACTTCTGCTGAACACACTAACACTACATTTTTAAACCTACCCCATTCCTCTTCGACCTCATTGCCTATGCTCTCATTAGCCCATCTATCCTCCAATAGCTGTTTATATCTTACCCTAACTGCCTCCTCTTTTAGTTTATAAACCTTCACCTCTCTCTTCCCTGATGCTTCTATTCTCCTTGTATCCCATCTACCTTTTACTCTCGGTGTAGCTACAACTAGAAAGTGATCTGATATATCTGTGGCCCCTCTATAAACATGTACATCCTGAAGTCTACTCAACAGTCTTTTATCTACCAATACATAATCCAACAAAACTAGTTATTGTCTAAAATATATTTCCCATAAGAAATGATATTTCCCGTAAGAAATAATGTAAATCCAATAATGTTTCAGACACCCAAATATATTAACAAAAAATATATTTTATAGAGAATAACTATAGTTTTACATACAAACTAGGGCATACAAAAACAGGTTCCACTGTACTTAGTTCAAATGCCACTCCAAACTGCAAATATCCCCACACCTTCAGAGTGCAGGCATTGTACTTTCCACCTCCAGGACTCAAATCCGGCTAGCCAGTTTTCCTGAATTCCTTTATAAAATGGTACCCTGCTCACTCCAACAGTTTAAATCCCACAAACCATTTGCCTCTACTGACATGGTCTCGATGCCTGCTGGATGTCCAAGTCCCTTTCATACAAAACCACCTTTACTCCCCTTGCTTCAACCATTCCCAAGGTGACCCCTAACCCTCCTTCCCTGCATTACAGATTTGCACACCCTCCAAGTCATTCTATTTTACTCCATCCTCTCTAAACTACCTTAACCCCTCCTCAGCCCTCTGAATATGCTTTTAGTAAATCCACACACAACTTAAAAGGTATGAATATTCTGCATATTTACACCATATCTCCACTGCCTCCAGCCTCCTTGCTGCAATGTTTGCAACCCATGTTTCACATACAGTTAAGTATTGGTATCACTGTATTTATATATTCCCCTCTGCCTCCATGGAGGAGTCTCAGATGCCTTAACCACTTCACTAGCCATGCCATAGTACTACGGTTTTGAGGCCACTGTCCATGGCATAGTTCTGTGCCGTGAGCCTGGCTCGCTTGGATAAGCAGCGAGTAGTAAATTTGGGCCTAGATATGAGAGAATGGGTCTGGTAAGTTTGCACCATACAAAACTGCAGTGCATGAGGAAAAAACGACTAGTTTTTGGTTTAAAACTACTTTGCAGTGTATTTTTGTATGGCTTTTATGGTTGTATTCTCGGTTTCTTGGTCATGTTTGATAGAATGGAAGATGTTATAGAAAGATTATTTTGATTGTTTTCAGGACTGAAAATAGCTTGAAATTGGGCTCAGTACCAGAAATGTTTGATTTTTGCCAGTATTCAAGAATAAACAAATCATCATTCGTCCAGTACACGTCCAACTGGTGGGTCTTTGTTCACGAATGTGCTGATTTATAAAACTGTTACAGTATTGCATAACTAAATCTTCTGGTTTTGTGTGAATAAAAAATAAAAATGGAATTCATGTGTAAAGCCTGGGAATGTAAATGACTACCATACACTTGTCTAGTATACTCAACAGGCTTATACCTCTATAATTTTTTACTTGTTCTCCTTTCCTTTATACAAAGGAACTGCATGCTTTCTGCCAGTCCCTGGGCAACTTCCCCTCGTACATTTATTGAATGAAAGTACCAACAGACAAAACTATTCCTTCCTGTGTTTAATATCATGATCCCAGCTGTTTTACACCCCTTCCCCTCAGTTTCATTTTACCCACTGCCTTGTGCACCTCCACTATCGTCTGGATCTTCCTCGCTCCTAAAGGATGTTATACTTCCCTATCCAATGTGTTGCTATCCTGAGGGTCATGGAAGCTGTGAGGCTTGATGCCTCTGGCAAGACAATTAATTTTTTTTTTTTAACATCTCAGTAGGGTAGGAGTCAGCAGGCATTTTCTTTTAGTAGATGAATGTTTCACATTGGTCATGGCCAAGTAGTCAGAAATAAATGATATCTGGGATAATGGATAAAAAAAAATTACAGAAGTGTATTCCCTGAAATTATTTTTTTTCATACTTTCTGAAATTAATTTTTATTATTAACACGGCAGATTCCCACCAAGGCAGGGCGGCCCAAAAAAGAAAAGCTTTAATCATTCACTCCATCACTGTCTTGCCAGAGGGGTGCTTTACACTACAGTTATAAAACTGCAACAGTAACACTCCTTCAGAGTGCAGACACTGTACTTCCCATCTCCCGGACTCTAGTCTGGCCTGCCAGTTTCTGCGACTCCATAACACTGACTGCTCGCACTCCAACACAGTTTTAAAAACCATTTGTCTCCAGTCACTCCTATCAAATACTCTCACATGCTTGCTGGAAGTCCAAGCCCCTCGCACACAAAACCTTTTTTTTTTTTTTCTCTCCCCCCCTCCCTCCCTGCAACTTTTCCTTAGCCGAGCCCCACCCTGCCTTCCCTCCACCACAGATTTATACACTCGAAGTCATTGTTTCGTTCCATTCTCTCTACATATCCGAACCACCTCATGTCTACCTTTACACTACAGCAGATGTAATGACGAATTTATACTAATGTGTATATTTTAGCCATGTTTTGAATGTTGGACCATTGCATTGTGTAATGGTTTATAGATAAGGCACTTGTAATTAATTTTTGTAGTATAATCACTGGCTAAAAAAATTTTGTACCTTGTGCAGGTAAAGTATGATAAGATGCACCAGGCTTTGTATGAGAAACGAAGACTAGTAGTAAATTCAGAGTATGAACCAAATGATGACGAGTGTGACTTCCCTTCAGATGAAGAGGAGGAGGAAGATAAAGGCCTTAGTAAAGACATGGAAGAAAAGGCTAAAATAGACGAGAAAGAAGACCCAAAGTGAGTTTGAGTTATTAACTTAAGCCTTTATTTAATGAAAGTAAATTTTGTACAAAAAGAAATTCTTCAGTAAGTGCTGTTCGTTACTGATAGCTTCAAATTTCTCCTAGGGTGCACGCATTTGATGAAAATACTAAAGGGATCCCTGAGTTTTGGCTGACGATTTTCAAGAATGTTGACCTTCTAGCAGAGATGGTTCAAGATTATGATGAGCCAATATTAAAGCATTTAACTGATATCCAGTTGAAGTTCCATGATGAACCAATGGGTTTCACCTTAGAATTTCACTTTAGTGACAACGAGTTTTTCACAAATAATGTTTTAACAAAGCATTATGAAATGAAGTGTGTTCCAGACAAGGATGATCCCTTTGGATTTGAGGGACCTGAGATTTTCAAATGCAAGGTGTGTATGCCTGTTGATTTAATATTTTTCTTACTATTAATGTTTATTAAGCATACTGTATAGGTTAAATCTTCTTTAAAGGTTTATTCAGAATACTTTGTTATAAAAAAAAATATGTATATAGTTGAATGCCTCTTGTATAGTTTGCCTTGATCCTTCCAGGGATGTACCATAGACTGGAAGAAGGGAAAGAATGTAACTGTTAAAACAATAAAGAAGAAGCAAAAGCATAAATCTCGAGGGGCTGTTAGGATTGTAACAAAAACTGTGCAGAATGATTCATTTTTCAACTTCTTCAATCCACCACCAGGTAAGTAAGCATTCAGTAACTTTCAGAAGTCTCAAATCGGTGCATTGGCAGGAATGTGATTGACTTTTGTAAATGTTGATTGGTTCACTTTTGCCAGTGTTTCCATTATGAATACCTTCATCTGTTTAGTTTCTAACACTTTAAAATTAAAATGCATTGGCTGGAAACTAAGAAATATGTGAAAAGTCAAAATGAAAGACAGCAGAAGACTAAAATGTTGGGTAAAACTACCTGTTAGGAAGAACTAAATAGTAGTTACCTCTAATGTTGACCTAATCCAGGTAGTAAGTCACTAAGTATTACCCTCAAGGATGGGTGCATTGATCCTGATGAAGGGGTCAGGATGTTAGCTACCCTCCCATTTGATGGATCAAACTTTTTATTCCCCTTATATTCCCTAGGCTCTACAACTATATTAAGAGCTTTCCCCTTGAATAGATAAATACAGTACATTCCTGTATTTAAGGTTGTGCCTGGACCATGACTTGGTTATATGGAGCCATTAACAGTTACATGATTGAGATTTGAATTGGAGCACATTGAAATAATGACTTTGGGTTGCACATCTGTAGAGTAATTGAAACCTGCTAATTTACAGTGGTGATTAATAATTGTCATTTCGTAAGTCTGGTGCATTTAAGCTATTTGGTTAATGACTTAGTAGAATTGTACTGTAAATTTATATTTTTGGGAAGAGTGGTACTTTTCCATTTTCATAGCTTAATTTCACTTTTTTTTTTTTCAACAAACCGGCCATATCCCACGAAGGCAGGGTGGCCCAAAAAGAGAAACGAAAGTTTCTTTTTAAATTTAGTGATTTGTACAGGAGAAGGGGTCATTAGGCCCTTGCTCCCGGCATTTTAGTTGCCTCTTACAACATGCATGGCTTATGGAAGAATTCTGTTCCACTTCCTCATGGAGATAGGAAATAAACAAGAACTAGAAAGAAAACAGAGGGGTGTGTATATATAAGCTTGTACATGTACGTGTAGTGTGACGTAAGTAGTAGTAGCAAGACATACCTGAAATCTTGCATGTTTGAGACAGAAAAAAGACCCCAGCAATCCTACCATGTAAAACAATTACAGGTTTCCATTTTACACTTGCTTGGCAGGACGGTAGTACCTCCCTGGGCGGTTGCTGTCTACCAACCTACTACCTTAATTTCACATGCCTACTCAAAATGGTTTTCTTTTGTCATCCTACCTTAGTGGGAGATGGCTGATGTTAACTTAATTCATTCTTCCAGGTATGGAGCCTTGCTTAGGTAAAATGAAGCTTAAGAACTATGTGAACAGGTGTCTGAATTACTTAGTTTTGAATAGGAGCTAGGTCTTATCACTGGAGCTTGGAGGATGTCATATGACAAATACGGGATAAAGGATAGTCTTCTCACCAGGGATGCTATAAGAATATTGGTGGAAAATTCTCACAAGTCACTGGTATATCTGGAAGTAAGATGCACTTTGATGAGGTTGCCTGGTGCCATTTAGGGGCTCTTGATCTGAGAAATTGTACTTCTGCCCTTGCATTAAATCTATATGCCTTCCATTTCCTTTGCATTGTATGAACCTTCAGGGTTTCTCACTCCCAGTGACTAATAATTTCATTGTTAAATGCTTGTTAAGGACCTGAAAATACTGTGCTTCACATAGGGGCTCTAAGATACTGAGTTTCATGTCAGTCAAAAGTAGAGGAAGGACAGCTGGAGGGCTGCTCTTTGACAACTCAAATACTGTTCCTAATTATTATTATTTCAACAAACTGGCCATATCCCTCCAAGGCAGGGTGGTCCAAAAGGAAAAACGAAAGTTTCTCCTTTCAGACATAGTAATGTATACAGGAGAAAGGGGTTACTAGCCCCTTGCTCCCGGCATTTTAGTCACCTCTTATGACACTCGTGGCTTACAGAGGAAGAATTCTGTTCCACTTGCCCAGTTTAACATAAATGAATAATCATAATATATGTAAATATTTTTGAGTAGATATGCTTGTTCAACTAGGTAGTAAGTTGGTAGACAGCAACCGCCCAGGGAGGTACTACTGTCCTGCCAAGTGAGTGTAAAACGAAAGCCTGTAATTGTTTTACATGATGGTAGGATTGCTGGTGTCCATTTTTTCTCATAAACATGCAAGGTTTCAGGTACGTCTTGCTACTTCTACTTACACTTAGGTCACACTACACATTTTTTTTTTCCTCCCCCCAACAAGCCGGCTGTCTCCCACCAAGGCAGGGTGACCCAAAAAAGAAAATCCCCAAAAAGAAAATACTTTCATCATCATTCAACACTTTCACCACACTCGCACATTATCACTGTTTTTGCAGAGGTGCTCAGAATACAACAGTTTAGAAGCATATACTTATAAAGATACACAACATATCCCTCCAAACTGCCAATATCCCAAACCCCTCCTTTAAAGTGCAGGCATTGTACTTCCCATTTCCAGGACTCGAGTCCGACTATATGAAAATAACCGGTTTCCCTGAATCCCTTCACAAAATATTACCCTGCTCACACTCCAACAGATCGTCAGGTCCCAAGTACCATTCGTCTCCATTCACTCCTATCTAACACGCTCACGCACGCTTGCTGGAAGTCCAAGCCCCTTGCCCACAAAACCTCCTTTACCCCCCTCTCTCCAACCCTTTCGAGGACGACCCCTACCCCGCCTTCCTTCCCCTATAGATTTATATGCTTTCCATGTCATTCTACTTTGATCCATTCTCTCTAAATGACCAAACCACCTCAACAACCCCTCTTCTGCCCTCTGACTAATACTTTTATTACTCCACACCTTTTCCTAATTTCCACACTCCGAATTTTCTGCATATTTACACCACACAATTGCCCTAAACAGGACATCTCCACTGCCTCCAACCGTCTCCTCGCTGCTGCATTTACCACCCAAGCTTCACACCCATATAAGAGTGTTGTACTACTATACTTTCATACATTCCCTTCTTTGCCTCCATAGATAATGTTTTTTGACTCCACATATACCTCAACGCACCCACTCGCCTTTTTTCCCTCATCAATTCTATGATTAAACCTCATCCTTCATAAATCCATCCGCGACACGTCAACTCCCAAGTATCTGAAAACATTCACTTCTTCCATACTCCTCCTCCCCAATTTGATATCCAATTTTTTTTTATCTAAATCATTTGATACCCTCATCACCTTACTCTTTTCTATGTTCACTTTCAACTTTCTACCTTTACACACATTCCCAAACTCATCCACTAACCTTTACAATTTTTCTTCAGAATCTCCCATAAGCACAGTATCATCAGGAAAAAGTAACTGTCTATTCCCATTTTGAATTTGATTCCCCAAAATTTAATCCCACCCCTCTCCCGAACACCCTACTTTACTTCCTTTACAACCCCATATATAAATATATTAAACAACCATGGTGACATTACACATCCCTGTTTAAGACCTACTTTTACTGGGAGGTAGTCTCCCTCTCTTCTACACACCCTAACCTGAGCCTCACTATCCTCATAAAAACTCTACAGCATTTAATAACTTACCACCTATTCCATATACTTGCAACATCTGCCACATTGCTCCTCTATCCACTCTATCATATGTCTTTTCTAAATCCATAAATGCAATAAAAACTTCCCTACCTTTATCTAAATACTGTTCACATATATGCTTCAATGTAAACACTTGATCTACACATCCTCTACTCACTCTGAAACCTCCTTACTCATCCACAATCCTACATTCTGTCTTACCTATAATTCTTTCAATTATAACCCTACCGTACACTTTTCCTGGTATACTCAGTAAACTTATTCCTATATAATTTTTAGTCTCTTTTGTCCCCTTTCCCTTTATATAAAGGGACTAGACATGCTCTCCGCCAATCCCTAGGTACCTTCCCCTCTTTCATGCATTTATTAAACAAAAGTACCAACCACTCCAACACTATATCCCCCCCTGCTTTTAACATTTGTCATGATCCCATCAGTTCCAGCTGCTTTACCTCCTTTCATTCTACGTAATGCCTCACGTACCTCCCCCACACTTGCATTCTGCTCTTCTTCACTCCTAAAAGATGGTATACCTCCCTGACCAGTGCATGAAATTACTGCCTCTCTTTCTTAACATTTAAAAGTTCCTCAAAATATTCTCGCCATCTACCTAATACCTCCATCTCCCCATTTACTAACTCCCCTACTGTTTTTAACTGACAAATCCATACTTTCCCTAGGCTTTCTTAACTTGTTTAACTCGCTCCAAAATTTTTTCTTATTTTCATTAAAATTTCTTGAGTGCCTCTCCCACTCTATCATCTGCTCTTATAACACTTCTGCTTTGTAAAAACCTCTCATAAGCTACCTTTTTCTCTTTATCACACCTTTTACTTCATCATTCTACCAATCACTCCTCTTTCCTCCTGCCCCCACCCTCCTATAACCACAAACTTCTGCCCCACATTCTAATACTGCATTTTTAAAACTATTCCAACCCTCTTCAACCCCCCCCCCCCCCACTACTCATCTTTGCACTAGCCCACCTTTCTGCCAATAGTCGCTTATATCTCGCCCGAACTTCCTCCTCCCTTAGTTTACACATTCACCTCCCTCTTACTTGTTGTTGCCACCTTCCTCTTTTCCCATCTACCTCTTATTCTAACTGTAGCTACAACTAAATAATGATCTGATATATCAGTTGCCCCTCTATAAACATGTACATCCTGGAGCATACCCATCAACCTTTTATCCACCAATACATAATATAATAAACTACTTTCATTACGTGCTACATCATACCTTGTATATTTATTTATCCTCTTTTTCATAAAATATGTATTAATTATTACCAAATCTTTCTTCACATAGCTCAATTAAAGGCTCCCCATTTACATTTACCCCTGGCACCCCAAATTTACCTACTACTCCCTCTATAACATTTTTACCCACTTTAGCATTGAAATCCCCAACCACCATTACTCTCACTTGATTTAAAACTCCCCATGCATTCACTCAACATTTCCCAAAATCTCTCTCTCTCTCCTCTACACTTCTCTCTTCTCCAGGTGCATACACGCTTATTATAACCCACTTTTCACATCCAATCTTTATTTTACTCCACATAATCCTTGAATTAATACATTTATAGTCCCCTCTTTTCCTGCCATAGCTTATCCTTCAACATTATTGCTACTCCTTCTTTAGCTCTAACTATTTGAAACCCCTGACCTAATCCCATTTATTCCTCTCCATTGAAACTCTCCCACCCCTTCAGCTTTGTTTCACTTAAAGCCAGGACATCCAGCTTCTCATTCATAACATCCAATCTCTCTTTCTTATCATTTGCAAAAACATCACGCACATTCAGACTTCCCACTTTGACAATTTTCTTCTTATTCTTTTTAGTAATCTTTACAGGAAAAGGGGCTACTAGCCCATTGTTCCCGGCAATTTAGTTGACTTACAACACGCATGGCTTACGGAGGAAAGATTCTTATTCCACTTCCCCATGGATATAAAAGGAAAAGTAATAAGACCAAGAACTATTAAGATAAAATCAAAGAAAACTCAGATGAGTGTGTATAAATAAACATGTACATGTATGTGTAGTGTGACCTAAGTGTAAGTAGAAGTAGCAAGACATGCCTGTAATCTTGCATATTTGAGACAGACAAAAGACACCAGCAATCCTGCCATCATGTAAAACAATTACAGGCTTTTGTTTTACACTCACTTGGCAGGACGGTAGTACCTCCCTGGGCGGTTGCTGTCTATCAACCTACTACCTCATGTACAAGCATATATATATACACACCCCTCTCGGTTTTCTTCTATTTTCTTGCTAGTTCTTGTTCTTGTTTATTTCCTCTTATCTCTCCATGGGGAAGTGGAACAGAATTCTTCCTCGTAAGCTGTGTGTTGTACGAGGCGACTAAAATGCCAGGAGCAAAGGGCTAGTAACCCCTTCTCCTGTATAAATTACTAAATTTAAAAAAACTTTTTTTTCTTTTTGGGCCACCCTGCCTTGGTGGGATATGGCTGGTTTATTGGAAAAAAAAAAAATGCTTGTTCAAATAATTTGGCAAAGCCAAAGGAATACTTGAAAAATTTTGTTAACTTGCCATGGTTGCCCAACAGTTCCTGAAGATCCAGATGAGGATATGGATGAAGATACCCAGGCCTTGTTGACTGCAGATTTTGAAATTGGCCACTATATTCGTGAGCGAATTGTTCCCAGAGCAGTCCTCTTTTATACTGGTGAAGCGTTGGATGATGAAGATTTTGAGGAAGAGGAGGGAGAGGAAGGTAAGAAACCATACATTTATTTATAACCATAATATACTTTGTTCCAGACATTGTGGCACAGCTTAATACAACTCAGTTAATCTTTGATATATTCTTGTTGCCATTTTGGTGAAAGCCATTGTTCCAAAAGCTATTAAGTTCATGCAGTCAGTTTCCCAGGATCATAAATGTCCCATGTTAAAATTAGTTGGAGGGGGGGACCTTTAAGTGTCATGTGACCTATCAGGTATATAAATGTTTTTCAGATTAGTTCTTAGAGTATTGGGTTATCAGTTTAACAAAGTTTGGAATGGCAGTGGTCTTCTTAAGGTTATTGAAAGCATGTGTGGCAAATAGCCAGCTTTGCAAATGTGGCCAAACCTCTGGTAGCTGTTTTCTCGGGTGAAGTTCTGCAGTTGTATCCAAAGCCTTAGCGCACATGTAAATAAACACGCTGAAGTCTTTACTGATGGGGCCTTAAAGTAAATTTCAGGTTAGCTTAGGTTGTCATTGGTAATTCATTCGACTTTCATCAAGCAGTAGCAAACATACCAGGTGAAGTAAAAACTGAGAGTTTCTTGTTGGACTCGTAGTAACGTCAATATTTTATTGAACAAATTATGCTGGCAAACACCCATTTGTGGTCCCAGGATGCATCTGACTGGACTTTTAACGGTAAGGTTTTGGATACATATCAGGTAATGGCCTTCAAAAATAGTGTAATGGCATGCAGTAGTCTTGATGACCTTACAGATGTCATAGCTAAACCTTTGAGCTCGGTTTTGTTACATATGGTGTTTTGTGGAAATGCCTCTTATGCTAATTGTTTCTTGTTCAGTGTAATCAAATATTGGTGCACAAGATTTCAGAAGGTACTTCTTTAAAGTGCTGCTTCAAAAGCATCTTGGTTAGCTGCAATGTCTTAAAAACTAATTGCACATTGTTAGAAGAAAAGTACAACCCGAGTCTGTTGACAACTGGCTGTTTAAGGTTTTTTATTAATTGGTTGTGTAAGAGAATTTAGCTTGTCCAGAGTTTGAGGACCTTCAAATTAGTACCACAGTACAGAAGTTCAAAATTTTTAACCTTTAAAATATTCTCTGGGTAATCCCTTTAATTGGCTAGAATGTAGAATCTTCAAATGGTTTTTCTACCATAAAGCAATTACTTCATCTTAGCATTGGAAACGTGTTTAGATTCATTGTGCTGGTTTGGCTAATGTGTGAAAAACATTTTCCTATTCAAATAGTATCTGGTAGCGGAACAGCCAGTTGTTGTTTCCCAAATGTTGAATGTTCGTGAAAACTTGTTAACTTGAAAACCAACCCCCAATTCTTGCAGAAAAATAGAACTAAGTGAAGTTATTGGAAATTGAGCATTTGTTTGTATTATGCTTGTAAATAAGGTAGAATACCTTATCTGCAGTGGGCAGAAAGTTTAGTATTTACCTAAATACTAAATGTTCATAAAGTTGAGTAGACAGGTTGACTGGATAATGTAAGTACCACCATTGGTAATGTACAGGATAACATTACCTACTGATGGGTCAATCTTTAGGTTACTCATACAGCCATGCTGCTTAATATATAACTACCTCACACCACTTTAAACAGTTAAATACAGTGGTCTTCAGATTATACTGAATTAGAAAATATGGTCTAAAATTGGAAGCATTTCTGAAATTTAGAATTAGGAAGAATTCATGGCAGTGTTCCTGAATGAGTGCATTCTGAAATTAAGATTCTGAAGTTTTTCATTTGGCGTGTAAAATTTTGTACTTGATACTTGTGCATGTGGTGTTTTGAAAGATGAATATGTTAAGTATTAAATGTGTTTTTTCCCTTCCAATAATTTGAGGTTTACCAAGTTATTTTAATAGAATTTTATAATTTTTTTCCTTGCCTTCCTGTCCAATTGTTTCTTTAAAATTGAAGCAGGGTCCATTGGATAGTTGTTCTTACTATAAGTTGTGCATTTTTTTCCCCAGCTTTTTCACCTTTTGTCCTGTTGATGAATCTGACTTAAACCACTATTGATCACTGAATTACATTATTTGAACAGTTACACATGGTGATTGACTTGAAAGTAAAGGTGTTGCATAAATCATTCTGTGAAATTGCTCAATCTTGGATTGAAAGCCAAAATATACTACAGTAAATTTATTAGAGGTAAATTGTTGGCTAATTGTGTATAATCTGGTTGCCTGTTCTTTAGAAAATTCTGGTTGAATTATCTGTCCTTTCTTAAGCTTGTTAAAATATGTAAATTCATTCCATAAGGTTTACATGTTTTAACATAAATATCCTTAGTTTGGTGTACAATATCACGAATCTGCATCACAGTATTGGAGTTTTTGTAAATGTTTTGCACTGGGATAGCATTAACAAGCATACTGATGCAGTTGAAGGCAACAGTTCGATACAAGTTTGTACTTGAAGTATAGAATTAGTGAAATGGTTTGCAAGTGAGGTAAGAATGTAGAAAGAGCTCATGATATAAAAATGACTCCTGTGCTTCAGGTGTTTTTTTTTCCTCTATATATGAAGTTGTGTCCACTCGGATTATTTATTTCGCTAGTGATGACAAATCTATTAATTTGCCTCTTCTAAATTGGTTTGCTTTCATTAATTTCTAATAATAAAGGATGAATTAAGTAAAATCTGAATAAAGAAATTAAGTTTTGGCAGTGTTCATCTTATTAAAATGAAGTAACTGTAAAAGTCGAGTTCAGTAAACAGTTGTGCCACTCCCTAGAAAGAAAGAAATGACATCTTGTTTTTCAGTTTAATTGCTTTTAATGTTTAATACTATGTATACTAGTTTCTTAAATGTTTAAAGATTCTTTTAGCATTTCAAACCTGGGTAAATGCTTAGCCTGACATTGCTCCTCATGAAATATCCAGTATATATTGTTGAATTATTTTTTATTTTAGTGTTACTGCTTTGGTCTTCTAACTGTACAGTTGTTTCAAGGGTATTAAGTCCATAACACTTGTGTGCCTTTCAGATTACTGTGAAACATTTAGTTATCCTGAGTTAAATTTACTTGTGCTTTGTGGCTGACTGCCACTGTTAGTATCATGAAATTGTAACAAATTTGGAATAAGTCATTGTCATGACACTTCTGCACCTGTTTGCTCATAGGGAAGTTGGTGGTGGAACATCTGATTTCATTTACGTTCTAGTTAGGCACACTAGTCTTGCATAGTCACTTGTGTAGTTAACCATAATGCCTTGGTACCCTCTTTTATATTTTTCAAAGTTTTGAAGAGATTATAGAAGACCCAAAGTGTGCTGGGGTCAAAACTATGGCAGGTGGCAGATTTGAAGGTATGAAAATTGTGCATTCTAGTTCATTGGACATAAGTTAGCTGCATACTAGTATGTTTGACAGTTTGAGGGCTAAGGGATAAATTTTAAGTTCTCTGCATTCAGTGAATGCAGCAGAGATTTTTGTAAAAAACAAAATGAATTCTGAAGAAATTTGGAATTAAGATTACTTTCACCTGTTTTTCACTTTTGCCACCAAAAGCACTTTTGTTCTCTCATCTTTCAAGGGATGTATCAACTTTTCAGTCTTCCTTTCATCAGCTTGCCTCTGAGCAGAATGTTGACTTGTCTTCACTAGTTCAGTGTTTAACCTTTTCACTCTCGTGTAGAACTAGTTGGCTTCATAGGCTGTCATGTATATCTGTCATGGTCCCAGATAAGCAGAGTTGTAAATTTTGGCCTGAATAGCAGGGAATGGGTCTGTGCAGTGAGTGCACAGTATGACAAAAAAAAAAAAAACTGCCTTGTGGTTCATAATTGGGCAAAGCAAAACTGACATTGTTTGACTGAGGTGTTTTCTATGATTATGGTTTTAATGGCTTTCTTGGTATCATTTGATAGAATGGAAGATATACTACTGTAAGAGATAATGGTTTTAGCTGATTACAGGAATGAAAGTACACCTACCATACGACTTACGACCACTAGATTTACGACTGTGTTTTTTATGCCAAATTTCTGGGGAAAAAAGCAACTATTTGTTGTACACAGTGTTTATCCTAAACCTTACAGTATAAAATGCAGTACTAACAGCATAAAAAGTAAAGTAAAACATGAAATACCAAAATAAAACAATGTCATTACAAAAATGTTTTGTTGATATTCAGTAGTAAAGTTCGACTTATGACCATTTCGACTTACGACTGGTTTCTTGGAACCGAACTGTCGTAAGTCGGATGGTAGGTGTAGTTTGAACTCAGCCTCAAAGTAGCAGGAATGTTACAGTTCAATATTCTTGGACAGGCAAGGCCTTCCTACACCCCAAGTCTGTTCTATGGGTTTTTACTAGGTCTGAATCAATTATTGGGATGCCATAAACCATGACCAGTAATTCCTGATGTTATCCAAATGTCTTTAATTTTAATTTTTGCATAAAATTTACCAAATTACTAACTTTTGTGCACCTTCTAGGATAGTTTTGGTAGTTGAATGGGTGGTTTGTACAGTATATAAGGTTTAGTAGTGATACAGCTAAGAATTTGGCCGAATTGAGCAAATGAAAATAGCAAATTTGTAAATTGTGCCCAGACCACAAACTCTGCCTGTTGTGGTAGTTTTCCATCATATTTTGTATTTTTTGGCATCATTGCTTTCGGAAAGATTAACATTTTCGAATTTTCTTTACACAAATAATCGCACATAGGAGAGAGCTTACAACGTTTTGGTCCGACTTGGACCATTTGCAGTCACACTAACAAAGGAGAGGAGGGAATGTATATATAGGCAGCAGACTGGGACAGGACAGGATGGGACATCTTCCTCTACTGCCTCTTGTCCTGTCACTGTCTGCTGGCCTATATATACTCCCTCCTTCTCTCTTTGTTTGTGCGACTTGGTAAATGGTTCAAGTCGGACTGGAACTTTGTTGTGAGCTCCTCTCTATGTGCAGGTTAGTTATGTATTGTTCCAGTCATGGTATTGTGCCTTTTTGTTATTTAGAATTTTCTTTGAATGGGGAAACTGATCGCTTT